CTGCTGGAACTGCAGCTGCAAGAACACAACAAGAAATCCTGTTCAGTCGATCCACTTTGATCTCCAGACAAACTGAAGTGATTCCCGCGTCTCCTCTGAGGCTGTGGGACAGTAAGCTTGAATATTGAAGGTCAGACGTGCAGGCATCACATTAGAAACAGCAGCACTGAGAGCACACGCTCCCTCACAGTTACAATAGAATTAACTAGAATTAAAAAGCTTATTTTATGTGCACTAAATGACCAGAAGGCAGATTCTCTGCAGCAGATTTGCAACAGTGTTATATTTTGTTATATTTTTAAATGTTCTTTACAGATTTCAACTTTTATTTATATTCTATCATCATCATCTGTATTTCATTTTATTAGGCAGCACTCATAGGGATCATTTTAGGAGTCAAATGAACTACAACATGATCGTGCACATTGACAGCTAATGACCTCTGTTGTGATATCTGTTATGTCTGAGTGTAGTTTTAGTTTTGTGGAGCCAATGAATCCAAAGAAAATGTGTGTTGAACTTCATTTAACTGTCGATCGAGGACGCTGAAGATATCGACCTATTCAGAACCATGGTAACAGGGTTCTTGCTGATCGGAGCTGGCTTGGCCCTGACTTATCGAAGAATTAAGAAAGCGGAACCTGCTGTTCAAACCCAGCTGCCCGCTGGGATTGAAACGATGGGACGAGGTGTGAGCTCTCAAACTGGGGTCACTGAGTGCAGCACGGATAAGATCTTGGAGAAGCTTACGGCTGCCGTGAACACTCAGAATAAGACCTCTGAGCAAAAGTTGGATCACATCTTGGAGAAGCTCACTGCGGTCATGAGTTCTCAGAATCGGCTCTTTGAGCACAAGAATGACAACATCATGGAGCGTAAGTTTGATAACATCATGGAGAAGCTCACGGCGGTCGTGAGTTCTCAGAATCGGCTCTTTGAGCACAAGAATGACAACATCACGGAGCGTAAGGTTGATAACATCATGGAGAAGCTCACGGCTCTCCAACGGGAGATTGAGAGACCAGTGTTGGTCTGTTAGAACAGCTTTGAAATTCTCATGAGTTGTTCGCACTAAAGTAAAAACCACCATCACTTCATGCGGAGACCCCTTCGGCACTGCGGTCTCAAGGCTGGAGCTGAACAACAACACCCTGATAACGCCTGTGTTGAGTCTGTTCTTCCTATCCCACGCGAGGCCACCTGGGTTGGCTGGAAGACTGTTTACTTAGCCTGGCAGGGCGAAGGACACTGTCTCAGCTGAACTATGGACACACACACTGATACGCACTCATCCCGCCTCCCTTTCCAAACACCTTCGATGCTTGTTTCCTCCTGGGGAACACGGCGGGCAACCTGCATGTGGCGAATAAAGCCCTGATTGATTGATTGTTTTGTAGTGTAGCTCTCTGTGCTAATTTGTAGATCTCTAATTTAGTAAGCCATTGTCGCAGCTTCAAGGTTTCCTATCATGATGCAAAATAACTGATAGATAAGAGACTGACTACAGGGAGCTTTGGCTGGTTTAACATCTGAGGTTTGCACTAAAAAGCAAGTTCAGTATCCTTCAAACATCAGAACACAAAGGAAACTGTAACTGATTAAACAGAAAAATCTAAGCCCACTGAGGTGATTCAGCTGTCTGACTAGATGCTTCCTCAATCAACAACAACAGGACCCTGCACAAGCACAGCCAAGCACCGCCCGCCCAATATCGGTGAAGCCTGAAGGCAACACCAGCCTGGAACACAAAGACTCAATGGCTGGCAGTCAGTAGGAGGAGCATTCAAGATCAGCATCTCCACCAACTCTCCTCCAGTAAATTAACTACCTTATGGTTTTTGTTGTGTTCAAATTTTTCAGACGGAATTTCAGGAGAAAGTTCTTTTAAAAAGATTTAATTTGCTTTTGCAG